ATCTAACTCGATTAGTTTTAGGTGATACAAACAACCGTTAGGTGAACAAAACTATTATACTCTGTAGCAACAGGTTGCGAGAGTATAATTATCGCTTATTTAACGGTGAAACTAAAACAATTATTGTTAAAAAGCTAAAAATTTTTATAAAAGATTCAAAAATTCGCTCAAAAAATTTTAAAGCCATATATATTAAAAATCTACGTTTAATAAATATAAATTTAGAATTAAAAAAATAGATATTAATATTAAGGACTTTAAGTCAAAAAATTATCTTTAACAAAAAAATATAGTAATCACTCAAAAAATTTCAAAACTATAAATATTTAAAATATTAAGATCAATAAATATAAATTACGAATTAAAAAAAAATTAATTAAATTAATAATAAAAAATTAATATCAAAAAAATATAATATAAAAAATATCTAAATTTAAAGTAATCGCTCAAAAAATTTGAACACCATAAATATCAATAAATTTACGATTGACAAATATAAATAAAAAATTACAATCAATAAATTATAATTAAAACACTTTAATTTAAAATACATAAATTTAAAATAATTGCTCACAAAATGTCAATATAAAAACTATTAAAAATTTAAAATAAATGTAAATATTATGTAAATTACAAAACAAAAAAATAATAATAAAAATAAAAATTAAAACTAAAAAATAATCGCTCGAAAAAATAAATAAATATAAAAAATTTAAGATCTACAAATATAAATTAAGAATTAAAAAAAATTATTAAAAAATATAAATTTAAGACAATCGCAAAGCAAATATCCAAATCATAAAAATTAAAAAATTTAAGAACAACATACATATATAAATTTAAAATTAAAAAAACAAAAAAATTAAAATTAAAAAACTATAAACTAATAAAAATAAATTTCAAATAATCGCTCGAAAAATTTCAAAACCACAAATATTAAAACTTAAAGAAAGTTAAAACAAAAAATTATAAAATATTAAAATCAGAAAACTATAATTTAAAAAATACAAGTTTAAAATAATCGCTCGAAAAAATACCAAATCACAAATTATTAAAAATGTGAGAACAACAAATATAAATTAAAAATTAAAAATAAGATTCAAAAAAAAAATAAAATATAAATTTAAAACAACCGCAAAGAATTAATAATATAATTTAATTAACTTAAAATTTAAAACACTAAAACTTATTTTAAATATATAAAAAATAATTTGTAAAAAACGCACATCAAAAAGACACCTCAACGCATTTGAACTAACAACAACTAACACGCGCAGTTATTTCAATTAAATAAAAAGTGAAAAACAATTAAACTCGAAAAATGCAAAGCTGAAATTATTTCTAATCTCTTCCTTCTAAGCGCGCTTTCGCACCTGCCCAGAGCGCTGACTTTTGTTACTCCGCACTCGCTTCTTGTTAAGCGCTTCATTTACGCCGTTTCCTGGCATCATTTTAATATCCTCATCGGCATACCGGCCGCATGCAGTCGACTACAACCGCAAGCCGCAACAATTAGCGCAGGCATTTTTCGTCATGCAATTATTTGTCACCCGTCGTTTCAACGATAGAAATCACAAATATTTTCATAACTAATGTGTGTGTATATATGTGTGTGTGTGCGTAAAATATATACATACCTCTAAACACTCATTGCTTGGCTTTTAAAAGGGTTACTACGTAGCAATGGCAACATGAGCAGCAATTTGCACTGAAGTGCTGTATTCAGCCAGCAATAACAACAACAATATGCAACATATTAACAGTAATATGTGTAACAGCATCAACAAGAACAACAACATCATCATTATTATTATTATTATTGTTATTGTGATTGTAACTGTGTTTTTGCAGCCACCCTAAACTGCTTTTAAGTTGCTTCCTGTCAAACGCTCGGCTTTACTTTTAGCATTTTCAGCTTGCTAATGAATTTGCACGAATTTCGGTATTATTTATCGCCGGACATACATATTATAATGTTTTTATACCCCGAACAGGGTATATTAAGTTTGCCACGAAGTTTGTTACGCTCAGTAGGAAGCCTTGGAGATCCAATAAAATACATATATACATATATAAATTATCAGCGTGCTAAGCTGAGTCGATTTAGCCATGTCCGTCTGTCTATCTGTCAGTCTATCTGTCTAAACGCGAACTAGTCTCTCAGTTTTTGAGATATCGATCTGAAACTTTGCACAAGTGCTTTTCTCCACAAGATACTGTTTATCTGTCGGAACTGGCGATATCGAATCACTATAGCATATAGCTGCCATATAAACTGAACGACCAAATACAAGTCCTTGTATGGAAAACTTTTTTATTTTATAAAGTATCTTTACGAATTTTGGCATAGATTATTATCCAAAGCATCACTATAATTTTCAGACAAATTGTTCAGATCGGGCTACTATAGCATATAGCTGCCATACAAACTGGCCGTTCAAGCTCAAGCCCTTGTATGGAAAACTTTTTTATTTAACGTGGTGTCTTCACATAATTTGGCACGAATTATTATCTAAAATAACGGTACAATTTCGGAAAAAATTGTACAGATCGGACTACTATAGCATATAGCTGTCATACAAACTGGCCGTACAAATTGCAGATAAAGATCTTTTTATACACTTTCATGCTAAAAGTAATGCACATGTGAAAGGTATTATAGCTTTGCTGCAGACGAACTAAATGTATTTTCTTGTTATGTACAAACGAGTATACATATATATATATGTGTGTGTGTGTGCGTGTAATCCACACATTACTCTTCAAATTGCCCTTATTGCAAATATTTGTAACGTTTATCCTTGATTGCTAATGTCTTTAATGCTTAGTGTTTTCATTTGTGGCAACACACATACACGCACACAAAATTATACAATCACACACACACATATATTTGCGCAACGCAGCACTTCTCTCCTCACTACTCCGCATTTAATGCGTCTTATTTGGTTTACACCCATATCGAGTCAAAAGAATACCGTCCCTGTAGTGCTATTCATAAAGCAAAAACAATCAAAATAGAAATCAAAGCCTTCTACAAAGCATCTACACGCATATTTGTCAAACAATCGAACCCTTTGCGCAGCGCAGCTAGAAAAATTTGTCATAACTAAGTGGAGGGCAATCAGAAATACACACTATAAGCGAAAGAGTGCAACCCTTTTTCACGCAAAAATCACACTCAAACCATAAATAACGGTATATATGCATAAACATACAAACACACACATATACATACAGTAATCAGTATTGCTTCTGCACCAGCAATCTCGAGCTGCATCCACTTTATTCGCTGTACAATAGAAATAATGCCACCCATTTCACTCTCATTGTACGCATACTTTTGTGACACACTGGTGTCAGTGACTTATAAGCTGTCAGCTGTTATGGCGGGGGAGCTTAAGTGTTTTCGAGCAGCATTTGATTGTGTTTAGCGGATTATTTTTGATTTGTTGTAATGCCAGCTAATTACTGGAGCAAGTACTCTTTGGGCGATTATAAGGTGTGGGTTTTTTTTTGGGTTGCACAGGTGTGATTGCGGTGGAAGAACAACAAATTCTCTGAATTGAAAAAGTTTATTGTTTTAGTAAACCAAAATTAAAGAAAATTGTGGTAGCAGAATTTTACGCGTATATCATATATAGTTCTCGTCCGTCTCTCCCCCTCCCTGTCTATATTTCTGAGTCTTTCGATTTTTGTCGCTCTATCTTTTGAAGTATCTCTCACGTTATCTTTTTTTATTAGTTTTCGTGCTTCTCTTTCTAGTTTTCTGTGTGTCTCTCTGTCTCTATTTCTCTATCTATATCTCTCGCTTTCTATATCTATATCTATATCTCGCGCCCCATCTATCTGTCTCACTCACTCTCTTTCTCCCTAGCTTTCTGAGCCTCTGGACCTCTATCGCTCTATCTTTTGAAGTATCTCTCACGTTATCCTTCGGTATCAGTTTTGGTGCCTCTCTCTCTAGGTTTCTGTGTGTTTCTCTCTCTATTTCTCTATCTATATCTCTTGCCTCCATATCTATTTCTCTCACTCTCTCTATGTATCTTTATCCCATCACATTTCGGATTTTTACACGCAACTGTCTTTCTTCGTCTCTCTCTTGTAACGTTTTAGACTCTCTCTATCTCTATCTACCTTTTGGTTTCTCTCACACTCTGAAATCTATATTTTTACTTCTCTCTATCTCTCTATTTATCAGTTTGCACCTCTCTGTTATATTTCCGAGTACCTGTCCATCTATTTCTATGTTTCTCTGAAAATCTAATTTTCTGCTTGTCTGTCTCTCAGCTTGTCTCATTTGAGAAAGATTTTCTTTATTTGTCTATCTCAAAGAGCAAAAAAAAATTTACATATCTTAAAGTTCAGTTCTCTGATATTCTCAAAGTTTCCGTTTACTAAGCACATACAAAATTAAACTAAAATGATCAGCAGATCCCAATAAAAAAAACACTAAATAATTATGTAGATCAAGTAAAGAAAGAAAATTGCTTGTAAGTATCTCAGAGAACACAAGCTATAATGCAAATACAAGTATGTCTACAAGTTCTCTAAATGTCTGTCTAAAGCATTAACTTCATAGATCTTAAGTTTGCATTCTGAGAACGATTTCCAGAGTTGAGTAATACGGAAGCAGTATGACGAACGCTCACTCTCTGATCTAACAATATGAACCGTCTATGTGGTAACTATCGGAAAAGAGGGTCTAGGCATCAAATTTCCTAACTTCTAATGTCTCATAAAGAAAAACCGAAAGCTCTGAACGGGGAATAGCATACGATGCTTGAGCAGTTGACTTCTTTTGTTCAGCTAACTTAATAGAAAAGCATAGAGGCTCTACCGTAGATCTCTAAGAATCTGAACCTGTCGAATTTCTGCTCATTTTTAGCTTACAAATTCTTTCTTAACGCTATATTTATATGGTATATATACCAAGCTAATTTAACTTATACTTGGATATTCTAATTAGTCTTTTGCCATTCTACCAACTGTTGTTACAGGCAAGCCCTCATGTCGAATCGCGGGTCCGATTCGGACAAACTCAATCCGACACATGTCAGCAGTTCACGTGCGCCACTGCATTTGGGACACACTGGTCGACCGCCGCATCATTTGCATGCGCATGCGGCGTTACACGACAATCAGGCGGACGACGAGGACAAGCTATTGGATGTGGTCGGACCGCCGCAGAGCCCACTATTGCCTTTGAGTCATTCGTTGCAACAGATGCATGCGCATCAGCAATCCGGTAGGTGTAAATAAAAGTTTACTACAGAAATACATGCTTGAAGTAACGGCAGAGGATAGAGCTTGGCTCATTTCTAGCCGTGCACCCATATTTTTGCGCTAATATTTCGCACGCTTCAGCTCACACATTTATTTTCTCATTAACGCCATTTTTTTTGTTTATTTAATTTAATCTTTTCCATTTTTCTAACCAATTTAAAGCCCTTGCAGCCTGGTTCAATCATTTGGCCGGTGCCGGCGATCATGCGAACGAAGAAGCTCTACGGCGTCGCCTACAATCGGACGATGTCGAACGTGATGGTAGTGATTCCAGCTGTTCGGAGAGTGTGGGCGGCAGCACGGGTGGCGCATTCCGGCCCACCTCCTCGGGCAGTCCGAAAGAGAGCGCCGCTGGTGGTTTAAATGCCGCTGGCGCATATCCTTCGCCGAATATTTCGGTGGGCCCACCGATACACCCGTCGCCGCATCTGTTGCCTTACCTCTATCCACATGGCCTCTATCCGCCACCGCATCTGGGGCTGCTACACAATCCGGCAGCTGCGGCCGCCGCCATGAATCCGGCCAGTCTCAATCCGGGCTTGCTGTTCAATGCACAATTGGCGCTAGCCGCACAACATCCCGCCTTATTCGGACATTACTCAGGACATACGCCCGTCTCACCGTTGCAGGGACTCAAGGGTCATCGTTTCTCGCCGTACAGCTTGCCCGGCAGTTTGGGTTCTGCCTTTGATGCTGTTACGCCTGGTTCGAATGCGAATCGCGGCGGCCCATCTGGCGCTGGTGATGCCTCTACACTGGGACCCGGCAGCAGCGGTCCCGGTAGCAGTATAGAAAATGGACCGCGCAGTTTGAGCTCCAGTCCACGTCCACGTGCCTCATCCAACTCGCCACCGACGCGTCCTATTTCTATGTCGCCAACGACGCCACCATCACTGCTTAAGCGACAGAATTCACCCTCAGAGTTGAAGAGTATCGAGAAAATGGTCAACGGACTGGAAGTGCAACACAATGGTAGTGGCAGTAGCGCTAGCATGGGTATGGGTATCGGTATCGGTGCGCTGGTTAGTGGCGCTTTAGAGGAGCTGCAACGCAAGACACCAACACAAGTGGATCAGTGACATTTATTTGATCGAGACGATAACGACCGTTCGTCCGTCATCGATCTCGACGATGTGTGACCGCAAGAGCAGGTTTTCCTGTTGCTTTAGTGGGCTTACAAGGGAGCCTACGCGCATATAAACGCGTTGGCAATGAAGCTAACAAAGTGGCAGTCAACATATTACACTGCGACTAAAATATGTCAATTGCTTGTTAGGCTAATGCTAGAGTGTATTCTCAGTCTACCATAAGCCTTTACCGCCAATGCACATTTACTTGTCTCGTATGTATATAATAATAAGTACGTATGTATATTTAGCTTAAGTAGTTTAACAAATAAGCCTGCAAACGTTTATCTAACTGTTTAAAGCTATGTTCCACATATGATTCACATACAAATGTTTACTGGAGAAGAGTATTTTCGCGCGCAAATGCGTCAGTTAAAAAATTGGTTAATTAAAGAAGCGGTTTTACATCACATGCTTGTTAGAAAATTCCAAAAATTGGCGAGTAACGGTTTATTTTAAATTTTGCTTGCATGTCTTTGCTATACTACAAGTGTTTTGTACAAAATAGTTGTTTTTCATGCCATTTTGAGAAGATCTTTTGTATTCTGCGTGTTTACTGTTTACGTTCCACATGCAATCCGCACAAATTTATCACATTTATTAAGCGCAAATGCATCGCTTGTTACTCTGCATTAACACCGGCATTAAATTGTTATGTTCCACATACACTCCACATACGTTCCAAAATTTTGTTTGTTATTTTTTGACAGTTTTCACAATTTTTAGCTGTTTAACTTTTTTTTTTTATTTAACTGGCGCATTTCCGTATACCAGCAACAGTCTTTGCAAGTATTTTATAACACATAGTTATTTATATAGGTTTAGCGTTATATAACTATAACAAATTTTGATTTTTGTTGACTTTTTCGTTTTAAATTTAGTTAACTTTTTAAGTTTTCAAACCAAAGAGTTACTTTCAGTGTAAAAAAATATAATTTTTTCTAACAAAACCTATAAATACTGCTAAAACTTAGTTATTGCTACTTACAAACATGCATAAAAATTTACTTATGGTTAATTTTGCTAAAAAAAAATCTGTTATAATATTTCTCTTAATTGTTTCACACATGCACTGTGAAAAATATTGAAAAACACTTCTCTTTAGCTGCAAATGTAAGTGACTTGCCCCCCAAGACCCCAAAAAAATGCCTAGTAGCTGTAGGAGAGGGCGTGGCGTTCAACAGTTCACGCTCAGAGTATTATAATTTAACATAAGACATTGTATAAATGTGTAATCTTTTCTGCAAATAATTTAAACAAATTAAAAAATAAAACTAATAGGCGTAAAGGCTTGTATTATTTAGTTTAAATTTTTTAAATGATAATAATTTGTTTTTGTAACAGTTCAATATGTTCCTCACTTACAATGTAATAATGTTTTTAAATGATTATTTTTTTAGTTAAAAATGTTAAATTAAGTTTTAAAAAAATGTGAAGTAAACAAAAAAACTTTTTCAGCAGAAAAAAGCAACAAATAAATAAAAAAAAAATACACTGTAAAACAAAATGGGAAAGCAATATTAATTATAGTTAATTAATGCACTGAAATATTAATTAAAAGTTACACATTTGTTTGTTTTGCGCTGTTAAAAACTTCAGTGTACAAAAAAAAAAAAATTAAAAATTTAGTGTTGACAACCGAAAAAAATTAAAATAGTTTAAACTAAAAAAAATTATAAGAAATCGCTTTCTACAATGAACACACTGTAATTAAAAATATATAAAAAATAACGCAGCAATTCAGGAAAAATGCTGAATGTAAAATAAAGATTAAACAAAGAAAAAATTAAAACAATGCATAAAACACAATTTCTCAGTAATAGCTTAAATACAAGTATGTGTAATTAATCAACCTTTAACCTATAAAAAACTAAACCTAAATGTAGCATATATAAAAACACATACATATATATAGTACACACATACATATATATTTATAAATTCCTATAAAATTTATATATGTATATTAAAAAAAAAAAAATGAATTAATTAATTAGTGTAAAAATGCATAAAGTCCCACTTATGCTTTGAGTAAATTAAGCAAGATGCGACAAACAAAAACACAGTGAAAGAAATTACAAAAAGCAAAATATGAATGTATAAATAAAAATATTAATATATACTAATTTAAATGCATATAAATACATACATAAATATATATATATATATATACAATTCGCAGTAATGTACATAGTAACAATTAAATTTATACATACATATATAAAAATATATAAATGCATATTGATTAGTAATAAAGACACTTCTACATGAAGCATTAATTAATTAAAAACAAAAAAATACAGTTTTTTGCCTCAAAAGAAAATAAAAAAAGCAACGGAAATAAGAACAAATGAAAAGTAAGTATTTTGCGTATTAATAACGGCCAAATATGGTATATGCTAAGTCGAAAAATGCAGGAAATATCTGAGAAATTTTGCAACAAACATAATTTTCGAGCATAAAAATCTAAAACATCTAAATTTGTTTAAAATTGCAGCATTACAACTTATGTTCCACATACAATCCACAATAACTTTTATCACTTTGAACTGCTAACTAGTTAGAACGTTTACATGCGTAGTTTCTTGCAAATATTAAGCAAGTTCCACATACAATCCACATAAAATTTTTACAATTTTGACATCCAGCTATTTAAAGCGTTAATATTCACACTTGCTTGCAAATATTAAGCAAGCTCCACATACGATTCACATGTGTTTCCACTTAGAAATTGTACTAGAACGCATAAATCGCTTATGGTTACCATCTGCTACCACATTTTTCGCTAAATCATAGCACTAAACAGCTGAAAATCTTGTTTACTACATAAACTTAAACAACATTTTTACAATTAGTTATTGAATACTGCAAACTTTATAAATTTTCATCGCATATAAAAGCACTGCTACAAAAAAAACCAAATTTTTTATGAAAATTTGGTTTTTATTGAATTAGAGAGCAACAGAAACTTGAAGTTTAAGACGATGTGTACAAACATATGTATGTACTTGTATGTATGAACATTATACGTATGTAAGTATTTTGTGAATAAATATGTAAATGTTAATAGATGTTTTGACCAAAATTAGAGAAAAATCTTTAGGAATGTTGCAACAAGTTTGATTTTCGAGCAAAAATGCCAGAAATTTAAAAATATTAAAAATTGTATGCATAAAACATACGCTCCACATACAATACACCTGCAATTTTTGTTGTTTTAGTTGTTGTTTAATTAAAACGTTGGTACTATACGTTTTTGCAAAAATTAAACAAGTTCCACATACGACCCACTTATGTTCCACAACTCGAAAATATTCTACAGCACTCGCCTTGTTTTTATCTGCTAGTTTTCATTATGTTTTGCGCTAAATAATAAAATTTTACAGTATAAACGCTTAGTATTTGCATTTAATCATATAGTTATGGTGGAATTTTTACAAATTATTAACAAGTAGTGCAATTGTTGTAATTTTCTTTCAAATTTGCAACGCTTTTTTGCATTAAAAACCTTACTTCTTGTTGAAATATAGCAATGGTCGGCTTAATCAGCTGAAAGTTCAAGACTATATGGCAACAATAGAAATATTATCAAAAAATAATATAAACTAATAATTTTCTCAACTAATAGACTTTGAGAGTTATTAGATTTTACAGCTATTGCAAATATTTCGATTTCCTAGCACTAACTTTTTTTAGAACCACTGACGTCTCTATCTAATTCTCTAAGTACAGAAATTTTACCCACTCTACCGAAAAATACTGCGACTCTCTACAGCAATAAATGTTTGATTAGCATCAGTTGTTGTAACAGCTATAAAAATCGAATAACAACAATAAACTAACAAAAGTTACAGCCTGCGCTCCCCAGTTAGCGCACTGCAATTGACACCAAATTTTTTTTGGCCTGTGACAAATTGCAACAACGCGCACCAGCGTGCGCTACGGTCACTCAGGGTCAGGTCAGTGGCTGACCCCTGCATACGTAGCTGACCGTTAGAGCTACTAGTATATATATATTGCTGCTGCTGGTGTAACTGATGTAGCTGAATGTGGCATGTGGCACATGTGCCTTAACTATAAATGCGGCTAACTGTCATTAAATCGTTGGGGGGTGGCATTGATAAACGCACGAGCGTATTGGGACCTCATCGATTTTCGGCTGAATACGTAGTCAATGTGTTGCGATTGTCTGCGGCTGTCAATTTCAAAAATTAGAAACAATTTATTGCATGAGTGTAGAGTGTAGCGCGGATGAAGAGGGTGCAGTAGGTGAGGGGTTAGGGCATTTAGTGGATATGCGTATGCACTTTAGTTGATAAAGTTATCAAAACAAAACAAAGACAAAAACGAAAAAAGGAAAATAAATGTGATATGTGTAGCGGTAATTACGAAGGGATGTGCAATGAAGTGACAAAAGACAGGGTGTGAGACTGAAGATCCCACATACTACTTAGTGTAGCTGCAGGCAATTGAAATATGTGAAGTACATTTAATTTTGTTGTCGTTTAGAGTAGCATTGCGCTTATCCTTATTGAGTGCAAGTAATTATTTCTTTTAATAGAAACGGGAACGTACCAAAACAGTTAAGTAAGAAAGTTTTTTTTTACATTTCCGAAAAATAGTTGTTGGATGTATTTTTGAAATTTTTGAAATATTTTTATATATCCACATTTTTTCTGCAAAAAATCCGATCTGGCAACTCGCTACAATTTTTTAAAATTAGTTTCTTTTGTATGATTGTAGTATCTTCTTTTTGCAAATTTTTTTTACACTAACCAATTTATTTTACTCGAAAAAATGCAAAAAACTTTCAATCCGGCAACACTTTAAGATTTTAAACTATTGTATAATTATAGTATTATATTATTTTTATAAATATTTTTTATACCAACCAATTTATTTTGCTTAAAAAATTTAATTAAAAATTTCCATCTGGCAACGCCCTAAGATTTTTTTCAGTTTTCTCTTTTTGTATGATTATAATTTGTTTTTTGTAAGTATTTCTTATACCAACCATATTTTTTTTACTAAAAAAAATTAATCAAAAATTTCCATCTGGCAACGCACTAAGCTTTTTTTGAGTTTTCTCTTTTTGTATGATTATAATTTGTATTTTGTAAATATTTTTTATAAATACTTATTTATTTTTATATTCTTTAAAAAATTTCATCTGGCAACACTATACATTTTTTTGGAGTTTGCTCTATTTGCTTTGACGGTATGTATTCTTAAGTCTGTAAAGCCTCACATACTGAACATATTTAAACGAGACAGCAAGCGAAGATGTCGCTCTTAATTTGCATAATTTTTAAGGAACTAATCAAGAATTAAAGCAAAATCGATTAATTTAAAAGCGTATATCATTGTTTTATGAATTCGAAATTACATACAAAACAAAACTACGAGTCTGATGCTATTGAATATTTTACTGTCTACGAGACTGCACTAGACATTTCTGTTGCGTTAGTAGCATCATCGGGCGACGAAGCTAGGTTTTTCTCAGAAAAGCCTATACGATAGGAAGAAAATATTGTTCTTATATGAAGTCGTGAGGTTTCAAGCACTTATTTTTGTCACCGATAGTGCAAAAAAGACTGTCAACTCGGCAACATTCCACAGAATTATTTCTGCAATGTTTTTTAATGCTACAACAACAACAATTTAACATAAGTACGAAAATCATAGAACCTATAAATAATAATAAACAAGTATATATGTTCAGCGTGACGAGCTGCGTCTATTTAGTCATGCCCGTCTATATGCGCGAACTAGCCGCTCAGGTTTTGCGATATCGCTCTGAAACTTTGCACACATCCTTTTCTCTACAATAAGCTGCTCATTTGTCGGAACTGGCGATATCGAACTGCCTTAGCATATAGCTGCCATACAAACGGAACGATCGCAATTAAGTTTTTGTATGGCAACTTCTTTATTGGTGAAAGGTATTCTAGCTGCCGTGCAACCAAAGTTACCGTGTTTTTGTTTTAATTTTCAAATTGACTTTTTGGCAATTTCCAACAATTGACAGCTGTCAACAACAGTTTTAATTTTCCTTTTTATGATTTTGTTGATTTTATGCACGGTTATATACACACTAAAACACATAAATATGTAAATACATAAGTAACGCATTATTAATTGTTTTAACCCTTTCAGCGCGTACATATTACCCCTTCCTCCAACCCTGTTGTATTCAACGAAGTCAATAGTGGGTACTAATGCCGCAACAATTTATTAGTATTTTATGCTGTGGCCAATGCGTGACAAAATACGCTTAGCAGCGCAGCGGGCGCATATTGACTGTTAGAAGCGCAAAAACAATAACCATAACCACAACAACAATATTGGAAGAATGACTTAAACAAACCAGCTGTCTGAAGTTTTGCAATGAAAGTGCTGCCTTTAACCCCATTATAGTTGTTTTTACTACATGTGTTATTGTTGCTTTTGTTGTTTTCTTTTTTATGATCACCACTTTTCACGCATTTATATAAGCACTCAACTACAATTTGTTTGCGCGCCTAAATGCGTGCTATACTAATTCACAAATCATGCCGACAAATGTGGGTGTTTAACCCTTTGCGGACTAACTGTCAACCGACACTGTTTACTCATGAATCCGCCCCTCCTGCTTGACTCGATTTATATGCCATATTTATTCATTTCTTATATTTATGCCATGCGTGCGGATTTTTGTTGCTTTTTCTATTGCCGTACAAGTTCTTCATTAATTTTATTTTTGTTGCTTCTATTTTCATTGAAAATTTATGCCTAGCTTAGCAATGTTTGGCAGTCGCAATGACTTTGACTTGTATCAATTTGTTAGCTACAACTTATTAATGCGGGCGGTTACACGTGATTTGCTGAGGTTAAACTTTACCGCTAGCTCATTTCATGCCCCATCCCCCCACCTTCCACCGGCCTCCAGCAAGTAACATTTGACATGACATTGTCTGCGCTGAAAATGTGCTAATGTACCGCAAAGTTATGGTGAAATGCGTTTGTTGACATGCCGGAGTCACTAACTTTTTATGATTTATATACTCTGGCAAGGTGGAAATAACAATAGTTGGGAAAAGGGGTTGAAACTAGAGTGGCAATTATAAGTCGAATGAAATGTGAAAAGATTAGCAAAAAAAAAAAAGCCA